CTCTGGATTTTAAACCCCTACATGAAAGACTGTGACTCTTAGAGCAACACGAACTGATAACACCAAACTATTGAGCACTGTGTTATTCAGTGGATTAACTGAGCTGATGCTCGTGTTTCAGCTGCATCATGTTCTGCGGTGCAGTGAGGACACAGAGGAGTAACTGCTGCACACGTAGTTTGATGAAGCCTTGCCCGTGCAGCCTTCTTTCTCAGTCGCGCTTCAATGCGAGTGTCTGTGTCTTTGGTGCAGCGCATGAACGTGGTGGTGACGCCGGGGCTGCCGATGCTGATGGCAGGCTCCGCCTCTCCGTGTGTGATCCTGTCAGTGTCTGCTATCGGTGTGACCGACACCGCCGAGAAGAACAAGGAGCACAGCGCCAAGATCTTTGAGTTTCTGACCAAGGAGCTCGATCTGAGCCAAGACAGGTGAGCCTGCTGTGCTCGCTGGAGTTACTGTCTCCTTAACAGCTTCACAGTGATCACATGCAAAGTTTACACCTGCAGTGAAACTGGACTGACTGCTGTGTTTGATTGGCAGGATCGTGATCGTGTTCAACGCGCTGGAGCCTCACCAAGTGGGGAAAAAGGGAACCGTCATGAGCTTCCTGTGAAGGCTCCCTGAAAGACCAGCTGTACCACATCAGCACCCGCCCCCTCTGCACAGTCGTTTAAAGGTCACTCGCTTCATTTTCACACCAGGATCATTTCTGCAGTCTGAACCAAACCCGAGCTCTGCGACTGTTACACTCGCTGGGTTTCTATACTTGTTACGAAGAGGCGCACGGAGAAAGAGCTCTAAAGTTTGAGTTTTGATGTAGCAGAGGGCTCCTCTGGAAACAAGGTTACTGTGATGTGGATGAAATAAACACAGTTCACTTATGTGTGTGTGTTTGCCTTCTTTCACATGTTAGCACCGTTATACATCTGCTGCCAGATTCTCAAAGCTCGGCTTCACCTGAAAATGTTCATTGTTTCGTGTGTTCAGCAGGTTCGATGTGCATCTTTGCACATTGGTGATTTCAGTCGTTACTGAAGTGCGACGTACAGCTGGTAGCTCCTGGCTCACACACATCAGTGAGAAAGGTGCCACTTTTTACATGTGTATCCTAAATGTGTTAATATTCCTGATCTAAAGAAGACATGGCTAAATGCCTCGTCCTTACTGAGCAACAGTCTTTATGTGTGAGAGCAGAGGAAAGCTCCTGTGTTGGCTGAGGTAGAGGACCATCTCCATTCGCAGTAATACTACAGTTGGAAATGTACTGAAAAAGGTGAGTTTAATCTAAGTGAACATCCGTGTGAAGGGTCTAGAGTCTGGGTTAGAGAATAACTGGATGTTCCAAACAAGCTGCTTTGGCCTGACTAACACAACGATGAGCTGTAAGATCTGACTTCACCAGCTGAGTGAACACGGGTACATTTATACAGGCAAGTGTTTGTCGTAGGACGTCACTGACCCTCATCTGTCCCTGAAAGAGCAACAACAAGAGCATAGCTCTGAGTAAATGCTCAGATGACCTTTGACCCAGTGCTCTGCAGCTTGTCTGGAGCCCATCAGCTCAGAGAGCAGAGAGATGGAGCAAGAGGACTCCCCGCTGGACTGAACTCCCTGAATCACCTGGCTCACACCGCTGCAGCAGCTGTGAGAGCACCTGCAGAGAGCACCTGATATTAAATGTCACAGTGTATGAGCAGCAAACTGACTGTTAATGCAGCCAAGAAGACAAAAACGTAATCACGCAGGTCACCAGTTCTCAGTGGAGACGTGACTGATCTTTGGTCAGGGCCATAACAAAAGTTAACGAGGAACAAAGTTAGGATCTCGGGTGATTTTTCAGACGTTCAGCTGGTCGGTTTAGGAGCCTCTGTCTCAGCCTCTCCCAGCATCCCCCTGTGTGACACCAACACCCATGAACCTCCTCTGAGGTCTTCCTCTTCCCCCCGGCCTGGCTGCTCCATCTTCATCATCCTGTGTCCAGTACATCCACCCTCCCTGCTCTGCACACGTGCAAACCATCCCAGCCTCTCTGACTCTGAGCTGTTCCTCTGATGGACTCATTTCTAGTCCTGTCCATCCTGCTCACGCCCAGTGAACACCTGGACATCTG